TTTATTACGTTACGTACGTACGTACGTACGACGTAGACGACTACTAACTAACAACGTACGTACGTCGTCGTACGACGTACACTACACTACTCTACTCTCTCTCTCTCTCTCTCTCTCTCTCTCTCTCTCTCTCTCTCTCTCTCTTATATATATATCTATATATATATATATATATACACGTAAATTAAACCCCCCCCCCAAACCACACCCTCTCCGTGTAAATTCATCTCGCCTCCCCCCTCCCCCTTCTCTCCATGTAAATTCATCTCCCCTCTCTCTCATCATGTAAATTCATCCCCCCTATCTCATGTAAATTCATCACTCTCTCTCTCTCTCTCAGAGTAAAGACAGGACTGGAAATCCAAACAAGAGAGTCGATACTTTATCTCGTAATACTCATAGAAGCTCCCAGCAAATTACATAAAATATATTTTACATTTTCTCTGCAATTAACTAGAGAGATAATTCTCGTTCCAAAACCCCTGTAGAAGCTTCAGTGTTATGGTGTGCAGAGGATAGAGGAGCATCAACCAACCTTTCAATGCTCTGCAATTGATCATAGGGCGCTATCTGCATGACACACCCACCATTGCATATAAAAAAATTTACTGAGAAAGAAAGCAAATTTAGAACAATCTGTACAAACAAATGAGAAGCTCAAGGCAAGTCACAGGCTCAAAAAGTAGGGTCCGACCACTGGAGTGGTGCAATTTCAATTTTCAGATAATAAACCATCTCTCTCTCTCTCTCTCTCTCTCTCTCTCTCATCCTGGATCATTGCATCATATGCTATCAAAAGATTCAATCCTATCCATCATAAGAGTGGATCAATTTCAAATTTCAAACAACCCACAGGCATGCATTGCATTTATCTTATGGTGAGGATGTATAAGCATAATTAGTGGGGGAGTTTGGGTATAATACCTGATTAAATCCATCGGGCCATGTTATGGACACTGCATAGTTTCCCATTGGCCGTATATCCTCAGGCTCAATGTCTTCAGGAACATCAGCATATTGAAGTTTTCGCTCTCCAGTCCACTCATCCTGTTTCAAACAAGAAGAATTTGAATAGGAAAAGAAAATGAAGAGACAAAGAAACAATGAATCCGATACAAATAATAATACAAAATACAAGGATAAAAGTTACCCTACTTCCACGGAAATAAAAATAAAACTTACACTTGTATTCAGAAACAAAACCTGGATGGGGTTAGTCAATATTGTTGGGAACTGAAACTCATTCGATTGTTGTTGCAGTGAACCCCACAATTATAAACTCAATATCTTGAAAACAGCACACTTATCACTGGCAAATCGATTCCAAGAAACTCAAACACCCAAGACCCATATGTGGTACAAGAAACTTGGGAAACAATTTCAATGTCATGGAAAAATTACAAGGCTGGTTTGCCTCTGAATCGGTAGAGAACCACCAATTCTCCTTTCCACTGCCACAAAAGAACCATCGAAATAACCTCCATTGTTGACTTCATCGCCGACGCTCCGCCTTAATGGAAAAATGTAAAAATGCCGATAAAATCACCTAAAATAAAACACAATAGTAGCTGGGGATTTCTCCTGAAGCCCCTGATCTCCACCTCAATAAGAGCTCTTCCTCACAAGATCTGCTTTCTCTCTCTACACACTGGCTTATAAATCCCTCACATAAAATGATTTTTATAATGAGCATAAATGCCCTTGACAAAGACAAAAATACCAATGGCAGTTCTTTTGGATCACCTACCCAATGATCTCCACCATGATACAAAATCACGCCCGTACCTTGCCAATCATATCCAATTAATTGTTTCTTGAAAAACCTAGAAAACTTAACCAATGCCACAAGCTCTCTAGCTAAATAACCTCTATGAGCATATCGTGCTCATCTTCATTCGTACTTATCCTTCTCATAGAAACTCCACCTTCTTCAATTCCCTCATCCTTGAGTTCTTTAGGCCATGTCATCACGCATGCTTTAGGTGCAAACCTTCTTGCACATCTACAAGCACAATCAATCATTGATCTCTTTTCACCAAGATCCCTTGCATGAGTTGTTCCCACAAAGCCTTTTACACACTCAAAATCTTGAGAATACTTGTCCATACTTTTTAAATTTTGAACTACCCAACTCACTCTACTGCCACATTACTCTCTTAGGCTAATCAACAAGTCTGATTAAGAAAACAATAAACAATTGAAATGACAACTTTTATACTAACCATGGCAATAATCAAGATTAACACTAAAGTAGTGTACATAACTCTAATCACATCAACCCTTCCTTTATCAAATTTTGGCCACTGGTTCGAAGGAAATTCATCAGGTGCTCCCGGTTTGACATCCTCTTGTGAAAGTCCCAAATCCTTAACCTCTCTACCTTGTTGAATGTCCACGATATGACCTTGTTTTGTACCAACAAGACCTTGTAATGCTAAATCATATACCCCGTGTCGAGCTTCTTCATCCTCTACAACAAAATGTATCTTTTCATTTACAATTGTGCTCCATTTATTTTCTTCCTAGATTCCCTTCTTCATAAGTAGAGCCCAGTTTTAAACTTTGAGCACTCCACCTTGCCCAGTAAATTTGTAGCACTTTTATATATAGAAAAGAAAGTGAAATCAAGCTCTTATTCAAATTCAGCACATATCTCACATTTTCAAGTGTCAGAACTATTTCATTACAGATCTTTAAGCGAATGGGGCCTACAACAATCGTCTCACTCATGGAGTCGTTTCCCATTGGTGCCAATCCACCCTTACATTGCTTATCAAAACACATTATATGTAGGCACATATAATATGTGGCTCTACTATCAAGAGCCCAACCTTAATAGTACATGGGATTGCATCCCACCATCTTCAACATAAACGGATGGTAATTCTTCAACTTGGTGAGCCCCATTCTTCACTTCTCCTTGCCATTTCAATCCCGAATTCCCTTTGAGAAATTGACCCTTTTTCATACCCAAAATTTTTTCTTTATGCGGCCGGGCTTGCTACAAAACCAACAATCACTTTTGTCATAATACCCCTCCACTTTGTTCAGAAATGAGCAATAACACTTGAGGAATTCATTGATGAACTACACCATTCATCCAATCAACCTCTTGCTATAAGAACATCCATTTTTGAACCCATAGGACTTTTCGTCGATACCTTCTTTTGGAGTTCATTGCAATTAGTGTAATACAAATTGAATCCAATTTGAGGGATTCTTCCTTGTTACAACTTTAGGCAGTAACAAGGTGTGTGCAGATAAGGCATGCGCGTGAGGCGAGCATGCGCGTGTATGCTCGCGTGTGACCCCAAGGTGTGTGCGGATAAGGCATGCCGTGCGATGCGATTAGCTAACCAACAAAAATTTAAATCTGAAAAGGTAAACGCACAAAGGGAAAGAATTACCTCGAAGAAGTGATTGAGTTCAGACGCATCCGAGCTATAGCCCTCTTAGATCCCGGTTTTTGATGCCACGGAAAGCCTTCCGACAGCTGTCAGTCAGCGGGGCACGATGGCATATAAGTCGTAGAGATTCTCCCAAAAGGATGAGCCTTGTGAGCCAACCACCTTTGGTTCTCCTCAGGTGAGCCTTGTGAGCTAAGCACCACAACAAGAAGGGAGCCAGACCTATGCCGTCGATACCCACAAGATGGGAGCATGATTTGATTTCACTCCCTCACATGACTTGTCGAGCTAAGATATGTAGGTCGTGCATTTTTTATTGTCGATGGGCCTAGATGGTTGTCGCAATTTAGTTTTGATGAAGAGGTAGGGGGTTAGGTCTAGGTTGGTTGGTTGGTTGGTTGGTTCGGTATAGATTTGAATTGAGGTTGATTGGAGTGAGTGTAAGCTATGGTGAGTTCGAGTGTGTCGAGTGAGCTGAGAGAGAGCTGAATGGGTTAGACTGGATTTGGGGCGTGTGGGCCCGAGTGGGTCAAATGGATTGAGGGAGAGGCGAGTAGGTATGAGTGGGTTGTGGCGTAGGCAAATGGGGAAGGGAGGGGCCTAACCCAAATCCGACAAAATTTCAGTAACACCTCCCTAATACTAGGGTTATGGACGACAAAATAAAGGTGCTCGGTGATTAACCGAAGCACCCCACGGGAGTCCGTTGGTCAGGGTCTGACGGGTCTAAGCCCGTCCGAGTGTCGCCTTGGAAGAGCCTCCTTAATGGGCTAAACTAAGTGGGGGTTAAGTGGGTTAGGTCAAGTGGCTCAAGTGGGCTCAAGCCAATCTTGGTAGGCTAGGTTTAAGTGGACCTAGGTATGCTCGATTGGGTTCAAGTGAGCTAGGATGGGATTGGGTTTGGAGTATAGTTAGGGTATGGAGTTTGGAGTTTGGAGTATGTTTAGAGTATGGGGTATTGTGACGACCCAAAATTTTTGAAACAATAAAATAATATTAATAGTATTAACAGAAATAAATAAAAAATAAATAAATAAAATAATAATTATATATTAGTAATGATAATAATAAGAGTAATAATTTTATACCGTTAAGATATTGCTACTTTTTTAATATAAAATTAGTAATATCTTAACGGTATAAAATTATTACTATTAGTATTATCATTACTAATATATAATTATTATTTTATTTATTTATTTTGTATTTATTTCTTTTAACACCATTAATTTTATTTTTCCGTTTCGAAAATTTTGGGTCGTCACAGGTATAGAGTATGGTTAGGGTATAGGGGTATGGTTAAGTTAGGACTAGGGTTTTGATAGCCTTGGTTATATGTAGAGACTTAACCAAGGTGGGTTAGGGTTGGGTTAGGCTAAATAAGGTATATAGTTAAATTAAGGTTAGGTTTGGGAAAGGCTATGAGCTCTTTTGCAAAAAACAATTCCCTCTCCTCCTTCAAGGTGATAGAATTTCTTTAATTTCAATGCAAGCAAATGAGTCTTTGTTACATACGTGATGGGAGTTTATATAGAGCTTCCATTGGAACATGGGTAGATGCTCAAAACTTGGGGAATTGGGTGAAAAGAAAAAAAAGAAGAAAAATACAATGAAATTCGAGCAAAAGAAAAATGGACGAAAAAAGACATGAACAATGTCCAAAAATGACCATTACGTCTCTCAAGGAGGGTCTCTTCTCAACCACATGGTATGGGCCTTGTTTTTTGGACTCTCTAGCACCAAAACAAGTGAACTAACATTGGGAAAATGTAGATCACGCCACCACAATCATTTTGACATAAATTTTGCACAAAACCACAGATTTGGAGTTTTGCTTGTTTTGGGTTTTGTGGTTTTCATGCAAACTCTTTGATCAATTTCTTCAGATATGCCAGGTTTATTGGTCGGTGGAAAATCAAAGGGGATCTCATCATGATCATTTTGCATCAAAAAGAGTGGGAAAAGACCTTCAATTGGCCAAGTTACGACTCCAAAAAGTTGCCGGAAATCCAAAATTCTGCTATACATAAATTTTGGCCCATTTGCAAGCCATGGATGACCATCAATCCGGATGCCGATCGTGATTTCTTATGTCATCTCGAAGGTATTCGAGTCACAATCAAAAAGCACTAATTTTGAACTCAAGATGATGATCAGATGTCAAGTTATGGCCGAAGAAGCACGGGGAGGTCATGCAAACTGGTTTTTGTGTAAGCATCAAAACTAGTACACCTCTCTCCAGGATTTCTCTCGAACCAATCAACAATCAGATGCAAGGCCTATACCAAAAAAAAGTGCTTGTCAAAGAGCACGACATATCTAAATTTCAGCTCAATCCGATTTGAGGATTGTGAGATTCAAGGGCGGAAAGTTTTCCCAATTTTGAGGAAGTGTTGCAGGATTTTACTATTTTTAGTAACTACTATGAGCTTCAAAATCCTGAATAGTATGAAAACATCCCTTTTCTAGAAAGTAGGGCCTAGGAATGTCTTTAGGCATGAAACTTGGGGTTAGGAGCTTTTCAGCCTTCTGAGTTCATTCGTGGCGGTCTCGAAGCCATATGAGATCAAATTTTAGGGGTTTTACAGTAATCTTTCCTTTCTCAACCCATACACTTGTGGTCTACAATACCCTTTAAATCTTGCCTTCCTCCCTTTTCTCGGTTGCAACACCTAATTGAGCTGAAATTTGTGAGGTGTCTTTAGGTTAATAGGACTCATCTTCATACTCTCTTTTGGTGTCAGAATGAGAACATCCAAGTGCCTTGCAAGATATACGCCTTATTATGCTCTCCATCGTGGTTGGGGCCAGAAACCCTCGAAGGCATCTTGGTTTTCAATGGGTGGGGGGGCCCTGCTATTTTGGGAGCCTGAATGGGCTTTACAGGAAGCTCGCACGTGCTTCTTCAAATTTTTAGGCATATTTGGTGGCCAAAAGTCACGGTTGCAACTGTCTTCTCCGTTATTCGTATGGGGGGCGTGGTGCGTCAAAAATACATGCAAACAGCTTCTACTCATTAAACAACAAACACGAAGTGACTAATTTGTTTGTGTCAAGCTAGCAATAGAATTTCTTTGGACAAGTTATTCAAAGGAATTGGGCTAATGTGATTTACACCATAAATTAGATAATAAATTTCGTTCTATGTGGATCATTTTTGTGGTTGGTATTTAATTAATGAGAAAGCTTCCAATCGTATCCATAGACATGGAATTAAATTATGGTATCCAATTCTTGGAGTTACATAATGGTGTGCACTCATAAAACCAACTCAACTTACTGATAGTTGAGATCCTTCATGAGGATGACATATGGATTTTTCTTTTCTTTTCTTTTCTTTCTTTTCTTTTTTTTTTTTTGAAAAGAGGAGTGCAGGGAATTATGATGAAAAATAGATTTCATATGCAAAGGTTAGCTCCACGTACAACACTTTGAGCTGAGCGATCGTTCCGGCGCACTATTGCAGGATGCAATAAAAACTCTTCATCTGAATCTGGCACCTTCACCCTGATTGCTCTCAAAGATTTGTCATAGGTTACAGCCGTTGACACTGAAAATAAACATATTTACTAAATTTTATTAATTTAACTGCATAAGACAAACTTTCCTAGTGCAAAAGAATAAAATTCTATTTATAATAATAAAAAAAACGTTCATAGCTATGTAATACATAACAATATATAGAACAATAACAGGAGAATTATCACCACTAATTATCCAAGGGCAATGGTGCTTTCTGTACGGATCACAAAGATAAAGGGCAAAACCATGTCACATCTGCCATTCATCCTAACATGTATAATCAAATAAAGCATGGACACTTCCATAACATTATATATAGGAAACTTCCATACCAAAGTTTGCAACAATCATGCTGCTTAACTACCTTGCTGGCGAATCTTAGCACACTGTTGAACAACACATACTCCAATATCTTGAAATGTTTGAGCAACTTCTCCTTGAGGGTCATTCACAACTTCAGGCATTCCACTATCTCCTGAAGCTGAAAGCTGCCAAATGACAACCTATCAGAGTTCAAAATGAACAAATCTCTATTCCATGCAAGCTCCAAATGAGGCGCCAATACAATTCCTAAGAAAGTCATGATTGCAAAATAAGTTATTCTAAATATAAATTCATATAGCCCAACAACTAGTAATGAAATAGTCAAAGACAATCAGAAAATCAGATCTCATGTTCATGGACAAGGGTATATTACAAATAGAACTTCATAATTCTAAAAATGATGTAGCACTTTATGGCATTCCAGATAGAGTAAATAGCTTTATTTCATACATACAGTTGGTCTAATGGGAAGATCAAAACGATGAGGGATTCCAAATTGTTGAACAACCTGCACAGAAACTCATAAAATCATCAAGAGAACCAAGGTGATGGTGTGTTAACTGGATAAGTAGATGTCATTCACGCAGTTGCTTGCCTGAGAACCTGAACCTCTGCCAAATGGGTAATATCGTTTCCCATCAGCATCAAAATGGCACATGTTCTCAACAACTGCAATGCATGGAACCTACAAAAGAAGACAAAACAAAAGAAGACAAAGTCATTATATATTTTCTCTTTTGTTGGTTATTGATGTGGTTTAAACACAGGTTTCGCAGGTCTACAACATGACTAATAATTTGCCATCAAAAATAAAATTGCTTATAGCCTCCTGATCAAATGGTTTGAAGTAGTACGAACTTCTATTCCTCATGCCGCCTCTTATATTTTCACTCAGGTGGCATAGGGAATAGAACCTTGAACCATTTAGAATAAAAAACCATCAATTAAGCAGCACATTTATGGAATGAACCCCAATCAGGAACATGAGAGGCTACTGGTTGATACACCATACAACCATAACATACAAATATGAGTCAGTTAAAGAAGTTGAGGAGTGGTCAAGTTGAAGGAAACTTTCAATTGAGATGATAAAATGGTTCCTCCCAATCTGGAAATGCTGAACATTGTTAGTGCGTGCTAAGTAACTAAAACCAGAAAGACCATAGACTTGTTTAGCTCAATAAGTAATATGAAAGAGGTAATCCTAGTGAGCAAACCTTAAGCTTTGAGAACATGCGAACTCCCTTTGCAACATCAATGAATGCCAGCTTTTGGGGAGTGGTTACAATGACGGCTGCAGTTAAAGGAACTACCTGTGAAAACAAATGGACTGTATTGATCCAAATCAACTAAATGAAAGAAACAGTAATCTTCAAATGCCTATATTCATCAAATTATAGGCATTGACAGTATGAAGGCAATACCTGACACAAAGTAAGCTGAATGTCACCAGTTCCAGGAGGCATATCAATAACAAGGTAATCGAGCTCTCCCCTGTATGGTTCAAGAATCAGGATCACACAATCTGTAGAATAAGGTGATCCACGAGAAAAATGATTACTATGCAATAAAGGTTTGAGTTTGAAATATAATTCAAACTTTCCGGTCTAGATTTAGGAATGTACAATAGAATTTTCACAAATGTTTTGATGCAATTGTTGGATTCATGATTGAACTGCTGGAGCCACGTACGAAATTGCTAAATATTATAACCATCATTATAGAGAAATAAACCTTTTCCTAGATGTCATACTGCCCAGATGAAATAAGGAGGAAGACAAAATCCAATTGTAAAGCGGTCTATAGCTACTTTTAGAAGCAAATGCTTCATTACATTATCGCAGAATATGAGCAGTAGATTGTTTTTGTTCAATGCAATACCTGAAATTGAATTGACACAAATCCTTACTTTAACCAAGAACTAATCATGTTTAAAGTTCTGAATGAACATGTCATAGACATCAGTCCTAATGTTTGTTTGTAGCCATAATGCTTAGAGGATATCTAAAAAATTATTGCATCAGATGTGACCTCAATGAACTCCAATTTTAATTGATTATTTTACTTATTTAAACTAAGATTTCTCTAAGGCTGAGTCAACCTATGATTCTCCAATAGGCAAAGTTGGAGTAGTTTATTGAAACTAAGAGGCTTTGACGTTCATTTAGAAAGGCACAGGAAATGGCTTGCATAAGAAGCCTAACCGGTGACCATGGACACATATAAGTGCTCAAGCATGCAATTGCCAGCAATAAGAAAGGCTGGAATGTGAGGTTACTTGAAGCTGCCAGAAAAAGATATTATGATGAAAGAATCCAACTAGGAGTACAACAGGCCAGTAGCTCAAGAAGGAAAGTGTTTCTTTCTCCTGTCCAGTAGTTTAACAAGAAAAGCAGTGACTGTTTGAAAATAATAGACAAATAACTTAAAAAATATATATATATATACTTGCAGGAAAGGATCATCTTCACAGGATAAAGGGACTGAAATTGAAGCCTAATTGACACAGAGGAGGACAGGCTAGGTTCCATGCAAATTTAACAAAGTCTTCCTGTTGAGGGAGGTTCCCTGATCCAAAGTCTCCTATAGACCTTAAAAAATTCACATCTGTGATCTAAAAGAAAACACGACTTCATTACATGCTCCTGATGTCCAGAGCTCCGTCTTCCTAGGCATTGTAATCCAAAGTTGAAGTTTTCCGAAAATCCAAGTAGTCATACACTATTCAAATATGAGATGGTTGGTAAGAAGAAGATGAGTACCAGTCACAAAGTTATCACTAACAAATCAATTACTTCAAAACTCAAGCGAGTATCCGAACAAATTCAAAGATAAGGTGGGATGATTTATAAACAATCAGAAGCGAGATTGTCATTCAGAAGTTGATCACTTGATCATAACATATAATTCACTCAAGTAGAAAAAGGAAAGGTGAATATGATTGACAACCAATGTTAGATAACCATAGCATAAGGTACCAAAAACTTCATCAATAAAAACTAATCATCATCATCATCCAAGCCTTATCCCAATTGTTTGGGGTTACTACATGAATATTGTTCCTCTACTCTTCTCTATCAAGGGACATACCCTCAGTAAGATCAAAAGCATAGGTTCAAGATTCATGATAATATGAGGCAAAGTTGTATACTAGTTGCCTACCTAACGCAACTAACCTCATTCACCTGTACTAGAGACGGTTAATGAAAAGTTTAAGGTCCTCACCCTTATTAGACTAATCAATAAACACTAATCAATAGCATAAATCAGAACCACAAAAAAAAAAATCATAGGTGATATCCATAATGTAATGAAAAATATTAAATTTAAGGATGACACCAGTAGTGTTGCATACCATTCAGTGGTAGTAAGCAGCTGATTGATGACCCCAGAAACCATAGGGCCACGCATTATAGCACGCCCTTGCCCAGCAAAACCAAAAGAGACCAGTTTCACACCCAGATAGTCTGTAGGGATTATCATTCTTTTCTCTAGGTTCTGAAAATAGAAGCTCTGAGTAAACTAAAACAATCATAGAATCCATGCTTATAGGGAACAAGAGGGTACCATTTCCAGCAAACGGTTTTCAGGGGAAACCATTGTTGGCAAGCTTGGACCATAAACATCGGCATCAAATATGCCAACTCTAGCTCCCATACCAGCTAGTGTGTATGCAAGGTTAACAGCTACAGTAGATTTTCCCACACCTCCCTTCACAGAATAAGATGTTAAATTTAGTGAATTGATGAAGCTTTGTAGATAGTAAAAAATCAACCCTGTTAGTTACCATAGGAGTTTTACTACTACCAAATTTTTTATAGGGACAGACCTTAAACCAAATGTAGTTTAACACTCCCATGAGGATGGCTGATATATTGGAGGGATGATCTTGATTTCAAGTAAGATCAAGGAAACAACAGAACAAGAAAATGGAAAATCATGAGACTTTGGGATACTTCACCTTGCAACTTGAAACTGCAACAATGTTGGAAATGGTCTGCAACCCTTGGGGGAGATCCCCAGCAAAAGCAGGCCTTGCAGGTTGTGCTGACATCGTTACATTCACACGTTTCACCCAAGGCAGTGCGGCCACAACCTCATTTGCCTTTTGTTCAAACTGGTCATACAAATTGTTTCAGGAACACATGCAAAGACAAAAAGATCTGACAATCAATACAGATTAGGGGACTAGCTTGACTGGTTACAGCATTGACAACTGCAATACCTAGTACTAGGTTCAAATCCCACCACCGACCTACCCTAAAAAACATCATCATCATCCGAACCTTATCCCAACTATTTGAGGTCAGCTGATGTATGATGTAGAAAGGCTAAAAGAGTCTGGAAATGTATAATACAATTTAATGGACTATAGAAATGCATAGTCCACTCAGGTCCCCTCCAACCATTGATATTACGTATGGTGATGGAGAGACAGAGTGGGCCATCACAAAAGGACAAGGCCCTAATGGCAATTCCAACTCCTCCATCCCCGCCCATCACTTCATCAGAGAGTGATGACAACCACTGACTCTGCTTTTCCATAGTCTGCAGATTATAATATACTTTCTCCAAGAGTCTAACAATCATCTGAAACGGGAAATTAAATTGTTGGCAGGACTTGGAGCATCATTATATTTTCATGCGACTGCAAAATTGCAGATATTAAAAATGGAAAAGCATCAATCCACAAGAATGAGCATCAATTGCTCTTGCAAAATTCCTCATCGGCGAATTGCATTGACCCGTATGCTGATCCAGAATCATTAAGTGACAATTTTTTCAAATAAAGTCATGGTAAAGCAAGTAATTCTGTAGCAAGATGAGCTAAAACAAATTTCACAGAATAATTCCTTCTGTGGGCTAAAAAAAAATAGTACTAAAGAACACATCATCAAACTTAGTAAACCAAAACCTGCCGTGTTACTAAATTTTGAATTTTAACATTAACGCAAATATGATCCTTTTCATAGCTACAAATTGCTAAGGGCAGTAATTCAAACAAAACTGTACATTGGGGTCAGAAATTTTTGAGGGGAAAAACACTGATGTAATTTTTTCATGATTTTTATACAAGAGGAGAGTTCTACCCGTTTGAATGTAGTATTCATCTTGATGAAATAATGAAATTTGCATTCTATTTACCATGTCCTTTATGGGACATGCCGGTGTTGTAAGCTCCAGTCGAAATGAGACCTGAACAAGTCAAAAAAACTAACTTGGCATTAAAAATCAGCTCGCAATTATACACAGAGGAAAATTGGGAGAGAAAGTTTGTAATGACCTCTCCAAGAACTTCATCAATGTGAAGGTCTTTCACAAATCCACATGAGACAATATCTGTGCCAAAGTCGGGATCTATGATCTGAGATAAGGCTGCTAAGACATCGTTCTCACCCACAGCAACTGACAAATTTGTGGCAGCTGCTACAGAAAAGAAGAAAAAAATTTGCGAAACAAAAATGTGAATGTTTTTCTTTTTTTGTTGCAAGTGGAAAGATAGACAAATAGATAAAGAAAAACTGTAAGCCAATAAAACACCAACATTCTCCATCTTATACACAAGGAAAAAAGAAGAAACAAAGAAGCAATCAAATAAAGGCAGCATTTGATATTAAGTATTCCACAGTAAGCCATTAGACACAAAGGGTTACAGTGAATAACAGAATAAGAACTAGCTTGTCACAAATTTGAACTGCCAATGGGGGATGATGATGCTAAGAAAAATAGTTAGACATCTCCTTTCCAACTAAATATTGCAGAGACTACACCATGGCTGTCGCCCCATATTTGCGCATTTCTTGGACAACATTATATTTGCAATTGGAAATTATGAAAAAGAGAAACAAAAGATCATCTTCTAGTCTTAGATGCACAGATAGACATATCGGTACAACTCAGGATTTCCTGAAGCCCAAGGTACAAATATCAATAAAAGTATCCTATCCAATTTAATGATGCATATAGAACTAGGGATATAGGATATCATTGAATATCATATCATAATGAAAATTTTAAATTCTTGCTATATTTCTTTTTTATCATGACATTGTTTTCTGTTGTGGGTATCGTAGGAGTGTCCATTCATGTTATTAGTGTCAAATTATGCCAACACCAGTATGGTAAGTATAGTATCCTGGTAACTTAGCTTTTAGTGCTTATGGGTATATATTTACCAGATTCCTCTTTTTTTTCCTATAGAGAAACCTAAATGGCCTATTTCTATAGAGAAACCAATTCACAGTGTCCAATGCCAGGACGCCTCTCATCTAAACTCGGCATCAAAACCAACTTCCCACATTTTTTGAGAGTCCGAACTCAATACTTTTCATTTATGATCATATGTAAAGCATGGCTTTCCTAGTTTTCTGGATTCTTCTATTACTCCAGTTTTACTTTTCACATGGCACCATCGTAGTTACGCATCGGACAAGTGAACACCTTCTGGTACTAGAAATAACTATTTCTTTAGTTTACTTTCTTCAAAAAAATGAGTTTTTTCTGTCTGTGATCTAGTTAAGTGGAGAAAATTAAATGATAAAGAGCAATGATGGAGCCACTGATATTCATCAAATAAAAAATCAAAATAAGTCTCTTTAAATAGTATATAATCACCTTTCGCTGAAAAAGCTCTGGTTAATACAGCACTACCAGTCTTGCGTGGCCACCCATAAATAGAAGCTTTTGGGGATTGAAAACTAGCAAAATTGTAATATTTTCTCCGAAAAGAAGAACATAGCCTTGGGTAAAACCCTGGATTCAAAAATAAGCAAATTTTTTATTGTTAGTAGAAAGGGGAGAAAGGGACATAAAATGGTTTGTTACATTATTCTAAATTTCAGATAAAATTACAACATTCCTGAAGTTCTTTTCCTTCTTCGTAATTAAATTTCTGAAATTGCTTTCCAGAAATTTCCTAAATTAAGGCCGTCATGAAATGATGTTCGTTCTCAGTGACACAAAATACTAAATATTTAAAATTCAGCTCCCGTCCTTAATTCAATCGCCAATATCCATTATGAAATTAAGAATATCAGGATAAATATCCAATGAAAAACATTTGGTATCAAAAAATGAAGAATGAGATAAGAAACAAACAGGACACGGGGAATTCGATATCCATCTTCGAACATCACTGCAGAGAAACCGGGGATTTTTCCTTGAGAACATGAAGTTCCAAACTCTTCAGAAGAAAAACGAAAAAGAAAAAAGGAACATATATAGAGAAATTGAATTTTATCCCCATTTCCTCATACAACTTTTGCATGAATATTTCCCTTTGATAATGGAATTTTATAAATACGAAAAGAAGAGTATAATAAACAGAGAAAATGCTACTTCAAGAGAAGTTGCAGATTTTCCATCGAGAATATGGAATTATAGTACTATGAATCAAAGATGCAGAGAAAAAAGAAGAGAAAATAAGAAACCAACACCATTTTCAGGCGAATTTCTGGAGAATTAGTCAAGTAATAATATGCTTCTCCAAAATATTTAAAAAATCTAAGAAAATAAGAAGAGAAAGTACGAATTTTTACCTGAATTTTCAGTCGATTTAAGCAGATAATTTGGGGATTTTCCACTGATAAAATGAATTTCCATCGATTTTTTTGAAGGTTTGGCTCATGTGGAGAGTATTTGAACCTCAAATTCCGATAAGGAATGATGACGAAAGTGCCCTTGTACTTTTAATATTATGACTAATACATTCACACGGCACAACAATAAATTATAGTTTAAAATAAATTCAAACTGTCAAATACCTCTATAGTTTAAAATAAATTCAAACAGTCAAATACCTCTATAGTTAAAAATAAATTCAAACAGTCAAATACCTCTATAGTTTAAAATAAATTCAAACAGTAAAATACCTCTTAAGAGAGGTTTGCATAGAGCCGAGGCTCTAAACAATCACCATTAGTGTCGAGAAATATAGTTTCAATATTGAAAATTTTTATGATATCTTTTAAATATAATTTCATCTCTAATTATAAAATTTAAAGCTTTAAAAATAGTGAAGATCAAATAGATCTATAAAAACTTGAGAATATTAAAAATTGACGGTTTTTAAAAATTAAAATTTTTTTTATTTTAATTTCCCTGCATCTTTATATCGAGATGATTTGAGCATCAAAACAAACCTCTTTTAATAAAAATTTTTAGGTGGGCTCTAATTTGAGTGTTTTAAACTTTTTCCAATGATATTTGACCCGAAAAAAAAAACCACTTCGTTCCATACGAATTAAAGAAAGAAAACACGTATGATAAAACTAGAGCCCAAATTGTTTTAAGAGTGATTTACGTAGATACCTTAAAAAAATTTATAAAATATAGAATGTTTTATTTACAAGTAAAAATTACAAAGGTCGGTTAACTCTCTTTTTTCTTCTTTTGTTTAAATTGCCTCTCGATCTAAAAATGAATTGCCCCTTAAGGATGGAATTCTCGGTTTGAATTTTATTTCTGTTTTTTGGTTAGTAGGGCAGTACCCTAAGTTTTAGGACAGTACCCTATTAACGAAAAAACTAAATAAAAAAATTAAGATCCAATCCAACAATGTCTTAAGACCGAAGGGTAATTTTGAAAAATAATAATAATAATAAATAAATAAAAAGTTGAGCGACCTTTGTAATTTCCACCTATAAATAGAACACTTATGTATTTTAAAAAAAATAGGTCTGATATGTAAATCACTCTTGTTTTAAGGCAAATCTATTTTAGGCAACGTAACAAAACCATGCGTCGATGCTTTTGGTAAAGAAAGAAAAAGTAAGAATGGCTAGACTGTCACAGCAAACAGCAGCTTAATATTGATAACCGATTGAATTCCCAAAAAGTTCCTCAACTTTACTAGGAGAAATGATACATCTCAGCCATTCAATTTTACATCGAACTGCTTAGAGCGTTTGTGATGATCTTGATTTTTCTCATATGTTACAGTAAAAAGACCCCAACTTATGGGATTGCAGTAAATTCCAACTTGGTCTCAAGAAAATTCCTTGAGAATCTCTTGGTAGTCTGTATTTTCAGACTGCAAGCTCCAGATAAAGAGAGTACATTCCAGATAATAGAAATGTAATAGTGTCAATGGCTTTGCAAACTTTGCACTGCTACAAATCATCCTAAAATACCCTCTCTCTCTCTCTCTCATACTAATAAAGTTCATCTCCCTCTCTCTCTCTCTGTCATACTAATAAAGTTCATCTCCCTCTCTCTCTCTAATCCATTGAAATACCAATATACAGTGCCTGTGGCTTGGCAAACTTTACAAGACTGCGTACCCTTCAGAAAAAACAATCTCTATCTCGTCATGCCAAAAGATATTATACTCAGGGCCAAAAGGAGTCCACCAAGGAGCTAGGTGTAACGTTCAACTTGGCGTCTTTCTTCATCGCTACGAGTCGTGTTCAGTTCCGTGCGTGGCCATAGTAACCAACCTGCAGGAGCCCTAAAGAATCATGGTAACCACCTAGGATCATCAGAGGCGCTCCTATCTCTTGCAATGGACCTAGAGGATGACCAAGCCCCTGGATTCTCAATAGTTGGTAGTTCCATTTCGCTGCAATCGTTAGACCGACAAGAGCCGAGCGGTCTACTATTAACGTAACCCGGACTTTCTACCAACACTAAAAGAAAAGTAACACCTCAAGTAGCTCAGTTCAGTAGAATTCGCTTGCTTATTTAAGTAAGGACTATTCGTTGGGCCCCTTCATGAGCCCCTTGATGAGTAAGCTCAGCTCTTCGACCCAGCAAGTTGGCTTGCTTACGATAGGAGGCTGGTAGGCTTCAACCAAGTTTGAGTGGTGAGCTCAGCTCTCCCCTACTACTGCTGCTTGAGTAAGCCTCTCCTCCCGAGCAAGCAACCGCGCCTACCTGACCAACCACCTTCGCCCTTTATTTTGCAGGTTAGTACGTCAAAGCAATGACCGGCCCCTCTTAGGCGGCCCTGAGCACCTGAGCTATCAATAGCTCAGTGAGTTAAGGCACAACATTGAACAGTACATGCGGTTGTTCATGCTCTCGGGAACCGACCCTGCCACATCTTTAGGTGGGGGCAGGCTGTTGTTTGAAGGTCATGGACCTGATGAGTCAACCAATTCATCTACCCTAGCAATGGTAGCAAGGTCACACTCTTGTTTAAGAGGTCTTTTTCCTCTTAAGCAATTTGATGTTGCTTCGAACTCAGTTTTTAGGGGTGCTTCACATAAAAGCACAAGTTTGAGAAGTGTGTGATGCAATGCGAGAAAGCTACAAGGTAAAAAAGCAAACCAACAAATACAAGCAAGAAAACAGATGCGCTTACGCACTGCACTAGGCTAGCCCTTGTTTACGCGTTAGCGCCATACTTGCCTTTGCTTCTTGCAAGAAAACGGATGCGCATTAGCGCCGCACTAGGCTAGCCGTTGCGTCTTGGCCTACGCTTGCTGGCTTTTTGCTGCTGCCCAATCCCAATAAAGTGCTTTAATATGTCAAGCAGAAGGGCTGTTAACTAAAGACCCCCCTACCACTCCCGGATTTTTACTTTTTGGGGCAGCCAAATAAGTCTCTCTTCTAAGTGGAAGTCACAAGGCCTTATGGTACTACTTCACCTAGGTAAAGGTGGACAGTCCATCTCACTCAAAATCTTAAGCGAACATCTCAAAACTAGCTAGCTCTGGATCCGACCTACCTCTATTAGTCATGAGCAATCACCAAGCAGAGTTGAAAGAGACCTGTAAGGACATGCATGCTTTAAGCTCAATACTTTGCTCTTTGGCTCGCTTAGTGCTTAGGCGCTCCTTGACTCGCTCAATGTGCACATTGATTTGAGTTGGATGCACGTCTTTGATTGGTAAGACAGTTCAGGTAAACAAAGAAAGTCTGCTAAAGAACTTCATCACCTCTTTCTTACAGACAACTACATGGAAGAGCTACCATTCTCTTTTGTACGAGATCAAGAATCCAGAAAAGAGAGAAGAGATCAAGAATCCCTAAAAGAGAGAAAAACACCAGTTGCCCTTGATCAAGAGACGAATGAATAGGAAAGTGATATGGCAGGTGCGGTTAGAAAGAAAAAGAAGGCTCATTTCCTTCTATCTGTTTCAAGCCCTGAATTCTCAAAACAACATAATCAGAACTTACGAGTTTAAGACTGAAACAACCTAGCACCGATAATCAATCGCAATCAGACTGCAAACCTAATAAATCATATCCACCTTTCTTAACTCACGATCAAGCTAATATCCGAGACTTTGCAGCGCATGGTTCTATATTCTCAACCTTTAATTGCTCTCCTGTACTCGCAAACCATTGTTCGCAAAATCACCTTACCTAACCATTAACCACCCGGTTAGATCGAAACCTACCAATGTTTGAAACAGTTAAGGTAATCAACCAGTATTTTTAAAAATAAAAATAAAAATAAATGTATATAAATTTTCAAAAATATAGAATTTGATTTGTCCTACATTTTTAAACATTAGTTACATTGTAGTAAAGACTAAAAATTGTTTTGATCATTAATACTCACTTTTATTTCCCATCTTTTTTAAAAAAATTTAAAAATAACCCTTACAAAATATAAAATAAGTTAAAAATCCATTTTTTTCATTAATTTTCATCTTCATTTGAAAGTGTCTTGTTTTAATCATTCTTCATATGTTTTTCATATTTTAGTAAAAATAAATTGTATTTTTTTCACACCTTTTTTACCGCCCAAGACTTATCCGGTGAGAGCAGTTGAATCGGTAGGTTTGCCGGTTAAGCCGGTTAAACCGCTTCCAAGCCCATGTCCGGTTAACCGTTCCAATTTGATTTTGCGAACACTGACGCAAACCATTAGGAATGTCGGTCCCTCAGCATCTTATCCTCCGTTGAATGGACCAAGAAAACGGAATAAAAGGCGCCGCAGGATTCATTTATAAGACTATAAATGAAGCTATTTTTGAGCCATTATTCAAGCAAAATATCAAAATCACGAATCCTTTCAATGAAAAATGCTTAAATTATACAAATACAACATTGTCTATTTACTTCAAACCTAGAAACATTCAATTCAACAAAGCAAAGATATAACTTCTTCAATATGGTCTTATTAGCCCATTCCATCAAAACATGTAATTATACAACACAGAAATGCCAATTACATTATCAACCAACCGATGGGAGAGTGAGAGAACCATCAAACTAATGGCCCAGCCTCCCGCGCGGCCCCCCACCAGGGACGACCAACTGAAGATGGGAAAAAAAAAAATACAAAGGAAAGAAAGAGAAACAAAAGGACCTTGGAAACCTCATAGAAAGCCATACACAAATCAATGCAAGATTATACAACCACAAGTGATCAAAGAGCACAACACCACATTGGTCACAAACTCTTTGCCTTCTCAAAGACAGAACTCACATAATACACCCTTCCCCCACACTGATCTTACAAGGCTGCTGGAAATGGCAGCCAGAAAAGATACACTTACATTGGCACCCCGAAATTCCAGCAATTAATTCGCTGGAAAACTGAAGAGAAGCATGAAACCGGCGAGACTCCACCCATTGAGTGTAGTTTGAGAGAGGCTAAAACTTTCTAGTTTCTAGCCAAAAGGGTTTCCTCCAGATGAAGAGAAAGAGTTTTGAGAAGAAAGATTGGGGGCACCGGCAACTGGGTGTTGGAGGGACCCGTATGAGTTTAGAGCAGAGGCCTCGCTACCATACCGAGGGAGTCCTGGTTGACTGCAAAATCACCATGGATCACCCAACAATGAGAAAGAGGAAAGAAGAGAATCTGTGTTTTGAGAGAGAGGAAAAGAATTTGTGAAACAAATAATCTGCAAAATAATTTAAAGGGGAAAAATAGATGAGGGAGACAATGCAACAACAAGAGGGAGAGAGAGAGAGAGAGAGAGAGAGTACCTAAGAGATGGCACGCTGGTTGACATTTGTTGAGCCATATAAGCACCTGACCGAGACAAACAAGCCATTAGAACAGTCGAAATCAATGCAAACCTTAATCCCCCCCCCGCCCCCAAAAAAAAAAAAAGCCCTATTAGTACCCATATTTTGTCCTCAAAACAATTTGCCCCAAAAAAAAACATATTTTCATATTTTTAGTCAATAAAGCCTCATCACAATCAACCAAAAAGATAGCATAAGCATTAAAAAAAGACCATAAAATAGAAGAGAGAAATAAGCAAACTATCATCAATGGCTGTTCACCTGGGGGCATTGCCATGGGATATGTGGAAACTTGAGGAGCTCTCCATTGTTGAACAGGAGCACCAAAACTTGAACTACGCATTAGGGCTTGACCAGCAATCAAGTTTGGTAGAGATGCTTGCAGTGGAACCAAAGATGGGAACTGTAAACCACATAGAGAAAGACATAGATAAATACAAACGCAATCATTTGTCTAACGGAGAAAATGGTAAAACAGAGAACTGAAACTGAATCACAACTTCAAACATCAAGTATGTCGCATAAGTTTCCTAAAAGCAATAAATGGGCATCTGCATGTTAAACAATGTGTAAGCTTGTAGCTGAAACAGACATCACCAGTAAATTTTATATCAAAGATAAGTCAATTATAAGAGAGGTTAGAGAGATGGGGGATAGCTACAAAGATACTTATCCAATTAAAGTCAATTCAGTGGCTTTACAGTGTGTGTGTTCGTAGGAGTGAGTGGGTGGGTGAGTGGGTGGGTGTGTGGGTGCACGTGAGAGAGAGAGAGAGAGAGAGAGAGTGGGGAGGGCAGGGCTCAAAGATGTAGAAAGATAAATCTAAATAAATTTGAAATAAGCTTACCGTAGGGCTACTCTGAACTGGGGCAGGGTCGAGATCAAATGGGTTGGTGGACTTCGATGATTGCCCTGGGAAAATTGGTGCAGCCTAAAGATGCAGAATCAGTAAAATCAAATTAAGTCATCGAAACCCATCATGAGTTCTTTTGTAAGGAAAAATTAAGTAATGATAATAAGAAAATAAAGAAATGGTATATCTAAAAAATAAATGGAAGTCTGGGATGTATAAAAAATCCCAAAAGACAGGCCCTACCCCTGCATTGGGAAATTGCATGGGAACAGCACCTATGCCAAGTTGTGGACCAGCTTGCCAAGCTGGGAGATGAACAGGAGCTGGTGAATAGAAAGCAGCAAAGAGATCCTGCAAGTAGTATCCATCTTTTTTAGAAAATAATTAAGGAATTATAGAATAGCAAGATTCATTTCTTTTCTACTTAGGAGAAATTTATTTCTTGTCAAAATCAACTGGATTTGAACAGCTCCAAAGAAAAGATAAATGACATACAGAAAAAAAGAAGCAATATGACAGGTTCCATCTTCACAAAATGTAGAATGAACCTCCTCACTAATAGTAGAAAACTGGACCCTCTAAAAATCTCTGGACACCGATCAAAAAAACACTTTCTTATTTAAAATCAAATTTATCTTTCAGCAGAAACCAATTCCTGTTCCAGCTAGGTCCCTTGCAGGAGAATGAATCCAAAACAAGGCCAGCATGCCAAATGGCCAGCCTATCCCTCTCCTCACCAGATCACCTTGTTTTTTTTTTTTTGATAATGTTAAAACGATTTTGTATTGGAGAAAATAGAATACAAAAATTTGCTTCCAGGATGGAAGCTCTACGACAAAAATTGGCTCCCCACTAAGGGGGAGCTCTGTACAACACTACCTTAGGTGGAGAGAGAACTAGAAACGGAAACCAAGAAGAGAGGGAAAGGCTTCGGTCTGAGGAGTGAGTCTAATAAAATCCACTTGGTAACTTGCCGATTCTGCGTCCAAGTTGCTCTCTTGCCATACATGATTCAAAAGTGAGGGAAACTCCTTGTCAGGTGGGAAATTTCGTCAAAAATGTGTAGCAGGTACCAGGGACTTGCCGTGGAGCCAGATGCCCAGGAGATTTTGTTCTGGGAGTCACCTTCTATTACCAGGCCGGAGCTCCAGGATGGGTCGAAAAGTTTGAGGCCTTCTAGGGGGGCAAGAGCCACGGCTGTTTGCGCATCAGCGTGGCCAATGGATTTCGAGGAGGACAGAGCCTTGGTGATCAAGGAAAAGGCCACCAATACCAGCAAGGCCTGGATTCTGAGAAAACAGCCATCAAAATTGAGTTTGAAAAGCTATTCACAAGAAGGTTGTTGCTGATTGAGGTGAAGAATGGCCTACTAATCCGGATGAAAGGCCAAGGAGGGGAAGCCCTTAAAGGAGGGGTCGTTGGAGGCCCAAATTATTACTAGGGATTTATCTTTGTCAAAGAGGGCTGTCAAAGATAAGAATTCACCCCAGAATATCCTATTGTTGCGTTCGATCCAGAGGGTCCAAAATAAGGCAGCCAAAGAAGCCTTTTCAAAGCAAGATACCAGATTTTTGCCCAAGGATAGGGCTGGAGAGAGGAGAAGAGGAGGGGAACCAAGTAGGGAGTCACCATAGTTAGCACATCACCGTTTAATCGGCGACTTTTTCAAAAAATCAGCATTTTTATGGAAACAGTTTTAAAAGGCGACTTTTGAAAAGGTTGGCAAAAAATTGCATAGTTTTCATAAAAAAGTTTAAAACGCGCTTTTTTCATAATACGATTTAAATCAGGCCAAAAAAATGTATCTTTTTTTACCCATAATTGTTTTTTGAAAGATAAATTTTTTTTCCCTGTTTTGCGTATTGCAACCATTGCTACTTTCATGCTTTTGAAAAAAAATATTATTTAAAAAAAAACCTAAAATAGAAATTTTTATCCCCACTATGTTCTTCAAAGCCACAGTTGCCGATTGAAGGTATGAATTTTTTTTTCCCTGTTTTTAAAAAAACATAAACAAATAGATGCAGATTTCAGTTGTTATTATGGAAAATTAGTGTAAATGAAATACTGTTTATAGCAAATCATTTTGTAAAGTAAATCATTGTGTAAAGAAAATCATACACATGCAGATTTCTATGATTATTTGTGATAATTGTTTTTATGAAAATACTGCTTATGGCACAAATTATAGTCAAAACATAGTCCTTTACTGATGAATGAGAAGCAGAGAGTGTGACTACAGGACCAAGTAATCAATATTTTGTTTTTGATTATGTGATAACAAAGATAAACAATATAGTGTAAATTGTAAGCTTACAGGAGCAAGCAATTGTACATATAGGATTAGTTAAACTTTAACCATAGTTATAGAGCCCATGACCATAGTCACCATACAATAGTTAAATCACTGTAATGAGAAACCAAAAATCGTGTATTTTTTTGGTACCTGCTAAGTAGGTGTGATGTTTAAGTATTTAATGAATAAATTTATATAGTATATTTGTCACCATACCATAGTTAAAGTATTTACTGAATAAATTTATATAGTATTATTTGTTTTTGGTATGTAATAAGCAGGTGTATCAATGAGTAGATTTTATATGATACATTTTTTTTAGTATATACTAGTTAATTATGTATTTAATATTGGATGATTGGATGAGAGTCACGAGGCATCTAAATTAATTGACTTAATTATATTAGTCTAGTAAAGTTTTTACGGATGAATTAGTTATTGATGGCTTTGACATAATTTTTATTTTATAGAATTTCAAAATTTCTAATATTATAAATTTATCCAATATTTTTACTCCGATTTTTTGAGCCTAATCCAATATATTAGCGATATCTTTATAAGAAGTATTTTTGCCAATTCGTATTTTTTAGCCGATTTTTTCATCCTACTTTTTAAAATAAAAATGATTTGTTTCTGATTTTATGGTGAGCCGATTTATTGATAGTTCCCGACTTGCTAACTATGGGAGTGACCCATTTCCATCTTAAAAAACATAGCAGGGCCCCCCACAACTCGTGTGCAATAGGGCAAAGGAGGGAGAGATGGATGTTGGTTTCTTCTGCTGCCTGACATATTGCGCAACAGTTGGGGATTGGCAAACCCCTTCTTTGCAATTGATAAACTGTGAAGACCCTTTCTGCGAGGGCAAGCCAGGAGAAAACCTTGATCTTGGGAGGGGCTAGGGTAGACCAAGCTTTAGCAGTGACGGAGGCAGGGGCATGAGGGTAGGTGGGGGGTTCAAGAAGCTTTTTGTAGAAGGAAGAGACTCAAAATTGTCCAGCAGGCGCTGGACATCAAAAGATCTTGGCTTCCCCTGAAAGAGGTAGGAAGGTGAAATGATGGAGGGACGAAAGACGTAAAAATTCTTGCATCTCATAGTTTGATGGTCAGCATCTGAAGGTACGAGTCAAGGTCCTTTAAGACCCCTGGGGTGGAAAGTAGCCTACACTGTGGCTTGGCGGTTGAGTGCATGAAGGAATAGAGAGGGGAAGAGGTCTTTTAGGGGGGTCTTGCCTATCCAAAGATCGAATCAAAACCTGAAATTATGCCGGCTCTAGGATGAAAGCGGATATGAGTTTTGAAGAGGTTGAGGATACTAAGGAGTGATCTCCATAGTCCTTAGGACCTACCATTGACTCTGCAATTAGGCATCCAGGAAGATTGGTGGTGGAGTTGATATTTGTGCCGAACCACTTGCGGCCACAAGTGGTTATCTTGGGTGGCATATCGCCACCACTTGCCCAACATGGCTAAGTTTGCCTTCTCGGGCCCCCAGATACTGAGTCCCCCTGGATAGCAAGGTCAGTATAACTTCTCCCAAGAAATAAGGTGGATTTTGTGGTTATGGTCATTGCCTGCCCATAAGAAATTTCTCATAAGCGTCTCGAGACGAGAGCGAATGGATGCCGGCATAAGAAAGAGGGACATGTGATAAATGGGCACTTTTAGCGAGAGTGGCCTTGATGAGGGTGACGCGTCCAAATTGCGAATTTTGGTCAAACTTGTCGATGATGTGTGCCAACAGGATATGTTTAGTTTACCAAGGTAGAGTGGAAGGCTGAGGTAAGTGGAGGGGAGACTTTCAGAAAGAACAGCCCCAAAGATCAACAAGGGCCTGGGTGGAAGGGAGATCCTATCCTTATCATTATTGACTTCTTCATATTGACTTTGAACCCAGCTACCCATTCAAAGCATTTGAGACTTGAGGAACAGAAGGAGAGTATCGACCTCCTTGGGGGAGACATCGCAGAAGACCAATGTGTCATCTGCATACAAAAGATGGGTGATTGTGGCGCCTTGAGATGAAATCTCGAAGCCATGACGAAGTTCTGAATGGAAAAGTCTTTGAATAGAGCGAATAAAGACCTCAACCACAATGGCAAAGAGGAAAGGAGAGAGAGAGTCGCCTTGCCGGAGACCCCTAGAAGAGGGAAAGAACCCCTTGGGGAATCCATTAATGAGGACAAGGAAGTGGAGATTGCTAATGCAACCATGGATCCATTCCCTCCACCGGCTACCAAAACCCATATGATTTTATCGAGGATCGCCCAATCAACATGGTCATATGCCTTTTCCCAATCAAGTTTAGCGACAAGACCATGGGATCTGAAGAGGTGTTTGGAATGTAAACATTCAAGAGCTATGAAGGCACCATCGAGAATTTGACAGTCCTTTACAAAAGCCCCTTGTTCGGGGCGAATAACATAAGCCAAAACGTCTCTGAGATGAGAGGCAAGGACTTTCGAAAGAATTTTATAGGTGCTATTAATGAGGCTAATGGGGTGGTAATCTTTGAGTTCTTTTGCCCCTTCGACTTTGGGAATGAGGGCAATGAATGTTTTATTGAGGGCCTTATGTAGGGTACCCGCTCAAAGAATTCTTGGAAGAAAGCAAGGAAGTTGGGTCAAAGAGAGTTCCAAAAGGATTTGAAGAATGCAACGGGGAATCCATCGGGCTCAAAGGCTCGATCTTGACCAAGCTGTTGTATGGCCTGAAGGATTTTGTCCTCGGTAAAGGGCATTTCGAGCCATGAGGCCTTCTCAGGCGGAAGGAGGAGAAAAGATAGGTCACCCATCGAAGGTTTAGGACTAGAAGGGGCAAAGAAAAGGTCTTTGAAGAAAGTGAGGATTTCCCTTACGACCTCTGTGGGCTCTTCGAAAAGATCGAGTCCTCGACTCTGATGCGTGCGATTGAGTTGTCTAGCCTCGGAAGAAAGTGGTGTTAAGGTCCCCCAATTTTAACCACTTCACTCTGGACGTTTGATACCAGTAAGTTCGTTCATGTTTGAAAAGCAACTGGTATTCAATGTTGAGTTGGACTCCCTGTTGTCTCTCAGCTTCTGTTAAAGTACAATGCTCTTCGAGGACATCCCAATTCCGGATGGACCATGAGGGGAGGTCCTTGCAGGAATGGAAGTTGTCAAGCAGGTGCTTACTCTTATCTTTCACTGATGCTTTGAGCATCCGAATTTTGCTCTGGCGGCAGTAACCAGCCCTACCCGAGACCTGAGAAGCGAAGGAATTCCACCACTGAGGGACCAGAGCTTGGCTCGTCGAGCCAAGTTCAATTAAACCTAAAAGGTTTGGGGCCTCTGGGCACAGGCTTGGTGTTTAGAAGGATAGGGCAATGGTCGAGGCCGATTGGGGCAAAGCCAAGGCATGGGAGCCTGGAAAAGAAGCGTCCAATTTGGTGGAGAGCAAAAATCTATCTAGTTTAGAAAGGGAGGGAGCGGAAGCGTGGGTAGACCACGTGAAGCGAGCCCTTCCAATAGGACGTCAATCAGAATGTGTCTTGAGATGCAATCAGAGAAATAGAGCATCCCCGGGGAAATTCTTGGAAGGGAATTGCACTCATACGACCATCTTGTTATGTTGAAGTCGCCACCAGTGCACCACCTTGAGGGAGGAATTGTTTCTACAAGCCAGTTCATTCCACAACTGGTCTCTACGGTTTTCGAAGTGGGACCAGTAGACGGCCGTGAACTTCCAAAGGAGACCATTTGAGACTCTTGAGAGAATCATTGTTGCTGAGTAGGGTGCAATGTGAAACAATGAGAAGACATGGAGAGACGAATCCCAAATGATCCAAATGCCACCCGATGCTCCCTCAGCGGGTAGGGCAATCTATTTGCAAGGTCTACAGCCCCAGACCTAACCAGGTGAAGAGAAGGGGAAGGCATTTTAGTTCTGGATAGAGTGGGGATAGTGGGGCAATGGCGGGTACAAGTATCTCGCACTGCATTTTGTTTAGTCAGGTGTCCCAGGCCCCAAGTGTTCCAAGAAAGTATTAACATGATGGGGTGGGTTGGGCGGGAGGGCATTTAGCGAAACAATGTCTTGAGGATGGGTTTTTAGGGTCTGAGGCCTCTGAGGGGGTAGTCTAAGGGGGTGGGGGTTGGGGAAGGGACACTCATAGTTTATGCTGCAGGCTAGTTTGGTAATTTCCCAGCAAACTTGTCCTTGTGTTTTGGAGCTAGAGAGGAGTCCTTCTTGAGAAATTCATGGAGAGCTTGTTGTGGGCCATTATAGTGGAGGCCCATCACTTAGAGTACCTTATTTACATTGCCTTGGGCTTGATCGAGATCTTCAATGAACTGAGAGTCAACCAACTCAAGGAAGTGGTAGAAGGAGCACTGAGAGGTGCTAGAGGAGTCATTGGGATGGAGACGAGCGCAAGGGCGAGGTGGCAAAGACCCTGAGGGTAGAAGGGAGGGGGGGAAATAAGGGAATGGCAGGGGGGGGAGGCAGAAGGGGGCCCATAAAGAAGGGGGAATGAGAAGGGGGATGGTGGAGCAGAGGGTTAAGAGGGAGAGAGAGAGGGGGAGAAGAGGGAGAAAAGAGGAGAGAGAGAGAGGGCAAAACCCCCAAGGAAGGAACAGGGGCAGGGATTTATGAGAAGGGGGGAGGGTGGTTGGGGTGGAGCGCCGAGAGCCACCAAAGGAAGGTCAGGCGAAAGGAAGCATCCAAGGGTGAGGGTAGAGGAAGACTAAAGAAGGGAAAGAAGAGGAAGGGAAACCAGCAATGAGGGAGAAGAGGGTGCAAAACGCCGAAGGCTGACGACCGAGGTAGAGGGGTGGGAGGGGTGGGCTATGTTTTGCGGAAGCAAGATCATCTTCAACTCCAACAAAAGGGTTGAGGGACTTCCAAGAAGGCATTCGAGATGGGGGGTTGAAGGAGCTCCAAGAAAGAGGGGCTTCCAGGGAGTGTAGCCTGGGGAGCTTTGAGAGGGGCTTCGTCAAGGGCGTTCAGTTATGACATGGAGAGAGGGGGGTGGTCGTCGCTACAGAGGGAGATGAGGGGTGGCGAAGAAACTAGGGAAAATATCTCCATACCTCTCATTTTTAAGCTTTATATCTCACTAGACCCAAGGTTTCAAAACATATCTTGGGTCATAGAAATTCTAAGTCTTGTATCTTTTAACCCCCTAAACTAACTTTATCCCCTTTAAACCTATTTTTTTGCTCCAAACAAATATAATAAAGACATCCTTTCTAAACACCATCATTTCTCCTTTCACGTGATTTTCCCCTAAATCTCTCTCTCCATGAATTTTCCCAAACCCTCTCTCTCCCTATTTTCCCACTCTCTCTCTCCATGGTTTATTTTTCTTTATATATTTGCTTGATTCCTGTGGATTTTTACTATTGATTAGTTGGATATTATTCGCATATATGATTAACTGTATGTAGATTGGGCCTGTTTTTGGAACCCAAAATGAGAGAGGGGTTTCAGGAAACACGGGGTAGAGAGAGAACGAGAGACCTAGAGAGAAAAAGTGGGGGAAAATAAAAAGAGAGAAGGGGTTTGGGAGAATCTCTAAGAAGAGAGGGAAAGAGAAAAAATTGGGAGGAATATATCACGTAAAGAGATGAAGGGTTTAGAATGAGCATGTTTTATTTATATTTGTTAGGGCTAAAAAATAGTTAAAAGTGGGTAGAGTTAGTCAGGGGGTTAGGAGAAATATTTTAAATCCTTGGGTCTATTCAGATATGAAAACCAAAAATAGGGGGTATGAGGATATTTCCCCAAGAAACTATCAAGTCTGAGCTATGCGAGGGGGGAGGAAGGAGTAAAGGGTTTCCAGAGATGGCAGGAAGCGATGATGAGAGAAGGTCGAGAGAGGGGACAGCCGGCCAGGAGGAGCACAGCAAATCCATACAAGTGCTCACAGGAAGAGAATGCATGGGTGGGCAGCAGGGATAAAGTCAGAGGGGAAAGGCAGGGATGACGTCCTGTTAGGAGGGAGGAGGGTAGTGGTGGGCTGACAAGAGGACAGAATGGAGGACTGTTGAGGTGAGACATGGTGAAAAGTGGGAGGATCGGCCACATGGGATGGGGGAGAAAAGGGGAACGGGAAAGAAGAGAAGGACGGGTTGCACAATGGGGAGGAAGCAGGTGGCCAAGCAAGGAAAATCTGGTAGTAAAGGCCTCAATCTCTAACCAAAGCGAGGAGGGGATGGACTTGGGATCTGGCAACTGGATGGAGCCCATGGGGAGTGATTCAAGGGATTTCCAATGAATGGAGACGAGGGAACCAACCAGTTCGGCAGTGTTTGAGAGTTTTGGGCATGCAGACATGAAGAGGGATTTTGAAAGCTCGCAAACAGACCTTTTGGGTTTTGAATGCTTCAATTTCCTGGGACCAAGGGATGAGGGAGAGGGAGGCACCCCGAAAGCTGGAAGAGTGAGCCACACAGGCACTCTTAACGGCGGAGAAAAGGAAGTGGACTTGCCCATTCATGAGTTTCCTGCAACAGAGGTCGGGATTGCCCCCAAAGTTTCTGCAGCCATTTCTCAATGCCCCAGACATCATCTCGCCGAGGGTAAAAGCCAACCAGGGAAGATGAAAATTTGAGTTTGAAAGCAGGGTTTTGGCACCCGTGAAGAGGCCGGGGGGAGATGATGGGAAGAGGACGGGGTTGAGGAGTGGAGGAGTTAGAAGCAGCGAAAGGTGAGGCATGAGAAGCGAGATTTGGATGATAAGGAGCAGGCTGCAATGGGGTAAAACACAAAGAGGGGGCCATAGCTTTGGGGGGGTTGATGAGGTGAGAATAATGGGAGTAGAGTTGAGGAAAGGAGTTAAGGGGGAAGCCCTGGGATGGAGCCATTCACAAAGGGAAACTCTGGATTTGAATGTCTCTCTTTCAGTTCAGAAAATATCACCTCGTTTATTTTGAACTCAAGTTCTTTCTGGATATCAGATTTTGGACTAGATTATCCGATTCACAAAGTATTAGTTGGTTCCCAGATTAAGACTCATATAACCACACTGAATTCAGTCCAGTTCCCTCACTAGTTTAACTATGGTAACTGTACGGGTTACAGAGAGTCAAAGGTAACATGGACTATATTCAATAAAAAAGCACATTTTATCATCAAAAAACAATCAACCCATAGGAACTAATAAATTCAGGCCACAGGGGCCCTAGACCAAAACAGAGCCCAGCACCCAGCCTGTCATGAATTTCGGAAATTAGTCAATCCAGAACTGAACCGCTGCTTCAAGTTCACAACCACAATGCCAGCTACCAAAAGGGAAAAAGAAAAAAGAAGAATAAAACTTGACAAGAAAAAATATCTTAAAAGAAGGTATACAATAATCCAACGAACAATGGAAGCCATAATACATTGGGTCCCATTATCTCTCTACCAACAGTGATGAAGTAAAACACTGTGGCTATGGTTTTCAATAGTCCATTAGGTTATACTTCCTCAAACATTAATTTGAAACATGTTCTTACCTCAGGAAGTGCATGCCTTCCCGTTGGTTTAGGTTCTGGTGGGGGAGGTTGTGATTCATCTTTCCGTGAGGTTTCTTGAGGTTGTTTGGGTGCAACTTGAGATGGTTGTCCTGGCTGTGCAGTTAAAGATGCTTGCGTGCTTGGTCCAGGCAATGCGTTCCATGGCTGCCAAGCAGAATGCACCAAAGAAAAACACTTTCTTATTTCTCTCTATTCGAAAGAGAAAAAAAAAACCATGTTACTTGCAAAAATGATAATCAAGCACCAAATGGTTCATGCAGATGGTACTGTAGTACATAACAAAAGGCAAAAACAAAAAAAAGCAGGAAACAGTAAAAGGCATTTGAGGTTTTAGCAGGATTTAGTGGGCCAAATTTTAGAGGAAAGATGTTTGAAGTTTATGCCACCAACAAATTACTTTCTGTATTTTGAGTGGCTTTATCCTGCCCTTATTTCATGATAACTTTATATGACTTCTTTTCCATCAGAAAGTTATTCCAAAAACTTACGGGAGAAGTACAACATAACAATCCAAAACTCCAAAATACTAATAAAAGACAGAAGAAGTCGTTTAGAACTTTGTGACATTACCGAGTACATTTTCACCAAAAAGAAGTGGACAAATTTTGTTCCACCAAATTTCAGAAATCCAATGTGATTAACAAGAGGTCTAAAAGAACTATCATAAACATAAGGAAGAAATCATTCGGAACTTTCAGTGATCATCCAACACTCAACAAATGCCGGATTTTAATTGAACCAAATATCAGGGACAAGGATTCAGAAATGCAACAAACCAAAACATCAACCTAAAAAAAGAAAAAGAAAAAAAGGAATTCCAGAATTTGTAGCATACCCAAACACGGTTTCAGATAAATTTTACGACCAATGCAACCAAACTTTGAAAGAAAACATTCCAAGAAAAATGCATTCTTTCTAAGAAAAAGTTTAAAAGTTCTGTAACATCATCGAGGTTACCTGACTGTTTGCAGCACCACTAACCGGCTGGTTAAGCTGTTGAGTTGTAGAGAGATTATCAGCACCTGGAAAGAGAAAAGTTTGTTGTTGCTGAGGTTGCTGTTGTTGTATAGATGGAAAGAGAGAAGCTTGTTGTTGTTGAGGCTGTTGTCTTTGGGCAAATGGATAGAGAGAAGGTGGTTGTTGCTGAGGCTGCTGTTGCTGCGTAGGTGGATATAGAGAAGGTTGTTGCTGCTGAGATTGTTGTTGCTGTGCAAGTGGAAAGAGAGAAGGTTGTTGTTGCTGAGGTTGCTGCTGTTGTACAATTGGAAAGAAAGAAGGTGCTTGTTGTTGAGGTTGCTGCTGCTGTGCAAAGTGCCATTGCCCATTACTTGCCAATGATTCAAGTCCACCCATGGATGGCATAGAGACACTGCCTACTGGTCCAGTGGTAGGGGTTAGTAACTGCGAAATTGCGGAAGCTGGAGCAGCTGGTGCAGTAGAAGGTGCGGCAGCCACCTTTTCCTGAGAACTAAAATCAAAAGAAGCCCAGTCATTTCCATCAACAACTGGAGTGGTTGAGGATTGAGGAACTGGTGGGGAGGCAAATGGGTCCTGCTGTATTGGAGTAGCAGGAGGAGGTTCAGGGACTGCACTGAAATCGATCAGACTTCCCGAGTTTTGCCTTTTCAGTTCTGGTGGGTTCCCATCAGTGGATCCCATGCTGCTTGAAGATGCAGTCCTCTGCCATAGGAAGAATGGAATGCTTCTCTTTTAGTAACAAATTAAGTTGTTTTCTGATCAGCAAGAAAGATAACCTTTTTAATAAGTACAAGCAGATCCTTTCTTCTTCTCCTTCTCCTGTTTTTACTCTTTTTTTGGGGATAAGTACTAAACATATTTCGGTGTTGACACAGACACTTACAACAATAAACATAACAGATACTCCTAAGGTATAGCTCAACTGCTGTGATGCAATATTCCAAATCCGAAAGTGGGGTGACAAACGGAGGTACCCCAATCATTTTTACTACTGCAATAGAATAAAGTAATCGATAACAATCTGAAGCCACTCATAGTTATTATGCAGGATCTCTATGCGACAAAAAGGGAAAAGCTAATATCAACCTTGAATAGTTCTTGTGATGGTAGATAAAGCTAGGTTTCAACCACAGCAGACAGGGCAAAACAATTGCTATTCTCATAGTTATGAGAGAATGAGTGAGTTTATAATTATTAAGAAAAGCCAGAGCATGAGTTATTTATCGCTAATCTGATGAATCTTAGTTTCAAAGATGAACACCTTACCTGTGTCTGAGGAGGGGGATCTAGACCCCTGCTACCACTTGGTCTTGGGGGATCACCAACCCGTAAAGGTGGAACATCATCCCCCAAAATATCCCTAACAGGTCGAACTGCTGGTGGACTAGCGACATCCGAACTCTTTTGAGAGTTGGGTGACCTCTCTTCAGGCTTGAATTGCACATCATCGCTTCTGTTCTGATTTCCATTTGCAGATCTATCTTCTCGGCGCCTATCATCTACGACCTCAAATCGTGCAGGACTTCTCCTGTAGGAATCTCCATACCGTTGATTTTCCTGATAAGGCCGATCATATTCATATCGACCAGGACTTCTTTTATCATCATATCTAGAATAACGGTCGTCATATCCTCTCTCTTGATCAGCCTTCCGAGGAGCAGGTCGATCATTATGACGTCGGTCGTATGTGTCCTCATATGGGGGACTACGAGAACTCCCACGATACGTATCAGTTCTTCTATTTTCATAGGCATCCTCCTGGTCGTTCTGCATTATAATTCAGAGTCACATTTTTATCAACTGGTGAATGGTACAGGAAAAGAATTATTCAAATTTCTTTTTGGGAACCATACGAAAAACTAACCAAGGGATAATGTACAACCACACCGGATTATGGCCAATACCAATCAAATGAAAGAGACAGTGAAGAGAAGTTAAGAGCGAATGATAGTAAGACGAATGTTGATGGCAAAAGAGTGGAACCCAACATTGAGATCAAGACATCTAATGAAATGATGGATGGTGGACAAAGAACAGGACGCGCCATTGGGGGTTTATGTACTGCTCTGGTAGGTACCAGTGCTTCCATCACTATCCATCATTTCAATGGATTTTAATGACCCAAATGAACTGATTTTCATTGGACAAGAACCAGCTCATTGTCAAAAGCATGTACAGTGAAAACTTGTTTTAAAAAACGCCAAGTCGAACCGGACTCGCCCGGTTCGACTCGGAAATAGTGAAAAAGGAACCGGATCGCCCAAAAATCGGAAATCGTCCGGTTCTAGAGAGAACCGGACGATTCTGTACAGTGAATCGCCGATTCACTGTACGGACTCGCCGATTCCGTACAGTGAATCGGCAATTCCGTACGGAAT